GGAGCGTGCGTGCGGGGCTGGGCTCTCTCAGGCCTGGAGGCCTCTCCCGCGGGGGCCACCATGCCTGCCAGGCCCACGGAGGCGCCGTGAGACTGTGGGGAACCGGACACACACCGTCTCTCCGTCTGCACCTCCAAGGACACATGCCTCTCGTCCCAGGAGACTCAAGCTGCCACCAGCACCTGCCAAGCCCCCCAGTGCCGACCCAGGCCACTCCCACACCTGGGCCCCTCCCAAAACCGGGGCCTCTCTCCTCTGGTCCCCACGGGACCTGAGCCCAAACCCCTGCCCCGGTCCCTCTCCATCTGACCACGAAGAGCTGTCTCCCAGCTCTGACCTGAGAGGAGCCCATGATTCTACTGGAAGCCGACCCCTGGGCCCTGAGTCCCCCAGTCCTGATCTGAGGATGGACCCGCCCACTAGAAAAAGGCATCTCAAGCCCGGCCACTGTGGCTCAGTGGTTGATACTTGACCTACGAACCAGGAGGTCATGGTTCGATTCCCGGTCAGGGCACATGCCCAGGTTGCAGCCTCGATCCCCAGTAGGGGGCGTGCAGGAGGCAGCCGAGCCATGATTCTCTCTCATCACTGATGTTTCTATCTCTCTCTCCCTCTCCCTTCCTCTCGGAAATCAATGAAAATATTTTTTTAATAAAAAAAGAGAATAGAGGGTTTAGGCAGCCTGCCTCGTCACCACGGAACTGTGTGACCTCGGCCGGTTCGCGTGGCCTCTCCAGGACTCAGCGCCGGCCCCCCTATAAAATGGGAGCAGACTCAGCGCGCCCCTGAGCCAGTGCGCGGCGGGGGTGGGGGGGGTCCCGGGTCCCCGCGGGGAGAAGGCTGCGCAGAGCCCGGCGGGACCGTGTGGCGAGCTGTGGTGACGGTCACTCTGTGTGTTAGACCGGCGGCCGCGAGGCCTGAGCAGAAATCACAGCGACTCTGTAGCTCTCGGTGATGACGGTTTTCTAACTGATTTTAGAGCGAGAGGACGGGCGGGAGAGGAAGGAGACAGAGAGAGGTCTGTGGCTCATCGGTTCATCTCGTATGCGCCCTGGCCGGGGA